TCTGGAAAATGGGGTCCCAATGATTTCGACAGAAGAGTCGTTAAAAGTTTGGGCTACCTGATGCAGATTGATGTTAAACCCTTTTAATGTTAATATTCAATCTTACAGGCTCAAAGGGTTACTTTCAAATATGCTTTGTTTATTGTATCGAAAATAAAACAAAAAGATATCCTCCTCCTTTGTTTTATTAAACTGATTTTTACGTAATAAAGTTCAATCTTACGGGATCAAAGGGTTACTTTCAAATATACTAATTAATTTGTGCCAGCAATTAATTAAGTTACTGAATCAGACACACAAACGACTTTCTCTTTGAATCCATGGATTTTGATTTATGACCATCAAAATAACGGAGGTAGCCGCAATCTGGAAAATGTTGTCCCAATGATTTCGATAGAGGAGTCGTTAAAAGTTTGGGCTACCTAATGCAGATTGATGTTAAGCCCTTTTAATGTTAATATTCAATCTTACAGGCTCAAAGGGTTACTTTCAAATATGCTTTGTTTATTGTATCGAAAATAAAACAAAAAGATATCCTCCTCCTTTGTTTTATTAAACTGATTTTTACGTAATAAAGTTCTATATATATATATTTCAGAATTTCCGAATTATTTTTAATTAAATTTCCTTTATATTTCGCATTTAGTTGGAGATTTGACAGGAGGTGTTCTTGATTTAAATAAGATACTTAAGGGTAAGTAATATTAAATATTTATTATTTTAGGGAGAGGAGAATTTATGCGAATGTGAAATTAATGTTGACGGCTGGAGTTAATTTGCAATTTGTTAGTCAAACTTTACCAGTAAATTTTAGTAAATTATAAAACATTTAAACTGCTAAGCAATTTCATATTCAGAGGCATGGCAGCATTCTTAATTTTGAAATAGTAGTAGAAGTAGTGGCAGTAATAGTAATTATCTCTTCTCTTTTCTTTCCTTTCTCTAGAAATTATCTTTGAAAATTAATTTTGTTAAAAATGGAATTGCCAGAAATTCGCACTATTATGAAGTATGAGTCCTTGTGTTTAATTTCAGCACCTCAGACCTGGTGAAACAGCAATAATAAATTTGTCACTAGGCAGCATACAGTATTAAAATTGGTGCGTTAAATTTTAAAAAGTTGACTTTGACCTTAGCAATTAGCCACGCGATCACATCGAATCAAAGGTCCATAATAAGCTAAAGGTCACAGTTTAGATGTTCATCTCAGAACATAATCAAAGATTTACATTGAAACCAAGAAGACGACGTGAGAAGAAAAATTGCAAAAGAAATCAGCTTAAACAAACAATAGCTGAAATTGGCCAGCAGATCGATTTCTATTTAATTAGTGGATAACGCTAGACCGCACACAACAGAAATGACTATGATAAAACAGCAGGAATTGGAATTAGAACAATTCTCATCATTATCCATATTAACCAAACCTAATCCCCTCTAACTACCTCTTCTTTCCCTAATTTCGAATAATTTTTTAATAGCAAAACATTTAAATTTCAATAATGCTGTCCTTTCAGGAGTTAATCCGCAATTAACTTTGGCCCACCAGGTTTTTATACCAACACTCTGTACAACACACCGCAGTTCGTAAGTAATATAAGCTCATATTGAAATCAATAAAACAATTCCTTGTTCTTATAAGTCATAAATTTTTTTTAAATACAACCCTTACAACTTAGTAGATAGATTAAAAAACAGTGGGGTACAAATTTTTTTCTGCTGCATAAGATTTTTTACAGATCTTAGACACTTCCGTTCAAATCTGCAATCGGTTTTACTATCCAAGCAAATTTTTTTTTAAGAAAATGACATTTTAGTTTGTTTTTGTTAATAAAAACGTTGCATATATGCCCATATATGCAACCATAGTTGCATATATGCCCGTGCATAGTTTGCCATAGAACCCATGCCATAGTTGCATATATGCCCATATATGCAATTGTCATGTTTCTCACGAAACATGACAATTCGGACCAAACAATTTTTTCAAATTTAAAGTCTTCAAAATAATCTAAAATTTTTTTTGTATGCTTCTTTAGCTACACTTATTAATATCTTATAGACAGCAGTGTAGTTTATTGGCATTTGCTCGAGAAAAAAAAATAAAATAGAAATTCACCAAATCTTAATTGCTAGGAAAATGACATATTACGTTAGAAGTTTAAAAAACAGTCATTTTAAGTTAATAGCAAGTAACTCAACTTAAGCCTTCATGTTAGATGGACCATAAATTGCTTAAATTAATTCTTTTTATCCCCTGTCGAAAGAAACAAAAAACTTTTTGTTGCTGATATGTACAGAATAAAATGGTGTATAACAATCAATCATTAAATAAATAAATAACTTTGATTACACCCAAGCATATTACAATAATACATAAACTTGGTATTAGGTTAATATTTGCTTTGCCTCTTCACAGTTAGCAGTTAAAAAGAATTTCTGGTAACACCTCAATGTCCCGGCATTCATAAGCCAGGAAAATGACAGCCAGGATAATGACAAATTCGCCATTTTATAGCATATAACTTTACTTTAATTTAATATTTTGGCCGAACACGTTTATATTCTGCAGAAAACAGCAGTATTTCTCAAAATAACTCAGATAAATCTATGCAGTTTTTGTTATTAATAATTTCAAGAAGCCAGGAAAATGACAACATAAAAACCTACTCACATTGAAAAAATTTTTGAAATAGATTTTGAGCCAGAAAAAAGGTTCTTTATTCATGCAACAAGACATGTTTAGATAGGAGGGTATCTAATCAATCTATTAACACAAGATATTGATTCCTGACACTATCTATTTTGGTTATAAATCACTAAATAAAAGTAGCCAGGAAAATGACAGATTCTTATGGGACAAACAAATTATTGACAGAAAAAATTATTTTAAACAAATTATTTTAGTAAACAATACCCTCTGCGTATATTCTAGAAATGCTTACATAGGATAAGATAAGAAAAATTAGATTTTGAAAAATGTATGGGAAGTTTTGAAGCTAGTTATTATTGGAAATATTGTTTGGGACATGCCTGAAAAATGACATTTTGATATTCAATTAAATTTTTTAAGTATACAAAACAGTCAATGCTAGTGCAAAGTCATTTTAAAATGCTAACAGCAATGTTATTTATTATATTAATTATTTTTAAAAAAAGTTCTTCTAGTATTATAGTATTAGATCTTGGAGCAAGTGAATTGTCATGTTTCGTGAGAATCACCCATATAACAAAGGATCTCTGACAACCAAACCAATATGAAAATTAATATTGGAAAACTGGGTCCTACCATGTGATTTTCCGGCCAATAAAAATGCATCGACTCCAAAGGAAAACTGCAACATCATAATTGGATTTTTATATATAGTTAGATGATATGATATGGCGTATTTATGATAACTTATTTTATACAATGTATTTTAAAATAATTTGTTTTTTCAAGCATAATTCTTATGATTTTTTCAATTAATAAATGTCCAGTATTAAATTTGTTATTATTGCCATCTTTACTTTACAATAACATACATTTTTTTTGTGCAGTTCTTGATTTATCGAATTTGCTCAACCTTCTTAAAAGTAAGTAATTATAGGGATTTATTTGCTTTGTTTATTGTATCGAGGATAAAACAAAAAGATATCCTCCTCCTTTGTTTTATTAAACTGATTTTCACGTTATAAATTTCAATCTTACGGGATCAAAGGGTTACTTTCAAATATGCTAATTAATTTGTGCTAGTAATTAATTAAGTTACTGAATCAGACACACAAACGACTTTCTCTATGAATCCATGGATTTAGATTTATGACCATCAAAATAACGGAGGTAGCCGCAATCTGGAAAATGGGGTCCCAATGATTTCGATAGAAGAGTCGTTAAAAGTTTGGGCTACCTGATGCAGATTGATGTTAAACCCTTTTAATGTTAATATTCAATCTTACAGGCTCAAAGGGTTACTTTCAAATATGCTTTGTTTATTGTATCGAAAATAAAACAAAAAGATATCCTCCTCCTTTGTTTTATTAAACTGATTTTTACGTAATAAAGTTCAATCTTACGGGATCAAAAGGTTACTTTCAAATATACTAATTAATTTGTGCCAGCAATTAATTAAGTTACTGAATCAGACACACAAACGACTTTCTCTTTGAATCCATGGATTTTGATTTATGACCATCAAAATAACGGAGGTAGCCGCAATCTGGAAAATGTTGTCCCAATGATTTCGATAGAGGAGTCGTTAAAAGTTTGGGCTACCTAATGCAGATTGATGTTAAGCCCTTTTAATGTTAATATTTTTTTCGGGGATTCAAGCGAATCAAAAATTTTGTCGTACGCAATTATTTATCTCGCTTCGTTCGCAATTACTTAACTCGAACTCGTTTATTAAAAGTTTATGCCATGTAAAAAATAATTTTCAAAGATTATTTATTATTTATTATTTTACTTAATAGCAGTCAAAAACTTTTTTGTCTTATGAGGCATGCAAATTTATTCATAATTTTAAACTGCTTACTTTTAAATGAGAAAATATAAAATGACCGAAGATATATAAAATAATTTCCCACTATAAATTTCATAAAAAAGTTATATTTTTAAAATTTCATTTCATGATAACCATTCGACCGATATCTGTCTAAATAAATTTTCATTTCCCAAGAACTAATCCACCGATATCGTTCAAATTTTGTATTTTCTAATTTACATTTATTTTGCTTAACTGTTGTTGTAAACTGTTTTTAAAAGATGTATTAAAAAATTACATTTTACAGAGTATTATCCTTGCACAAATGACTTGTATAATTGTGTGCAAAACTTTTTGACTCGTTTAAAAAGTTCAAGATGTAGTGAAATAATCTTAATATTTAGATACCTAAACTTTCGATCATTTTGATATAAATTTAACTAAACTTTTGACCACTCTAAGCTATTGGGAGTACAATTTCTAGATTTTTACTACCTCCCTATTTTAATGGCCGAAAAAGCTAGTTCGTCAGAAAAAAACATAGATACGTTTTTTGTCTGAATACTTAGCTTAATTAGCAGTTAGCGGTAATTAGCTTACGTGTTAAGGTCATTGAGATTCATTTCTTGTTTGAAAAAATCTAATAATTAAAACTAAAGTTATTCAGAAAACCCTTTTGTTTTGGCTCACCCTTTATTTTTTAGAGTCAATCATTTTTTAAAATAGCAATAGTAATAATCTTAATCGTAATCTTGTAAAGAATAGCAATCTCGTAATAATCATCAAATTTAGAAAATAAATTGCTTGTATGGAATACCTGCGTAAACTATAGATTATAGCGTGTAAAAGCCAAGCAAATGTAAACCGCACGTTCACAGGCTATTGAGTTAACTTTGACTGGATAACTTTGACCGTATTATAACTGGATCAAGTAAATACTTTGCATTTTAGTAACCATGGGTCAGTTAAACGGGCAACAGCCTGCGTTTGCCATAAAAATGCTTTATAAAAACAGTGATAGTACGGAAGTTGCGTAGAGGGAGTCCTAACGTTTTTACTACTTTGGACTTCATGGTACCATCCATCAAAGCAAGAGACTGGATTTGCCCTAAATAACAAACCAACCATACGTAGAGGGAGCTCCGACATTTTTAAAACAACAAATACCATCCAAGAGATATTGTCAATAAAGAGATTAGCTTTAAATTGAAATTTCATTTTTGCATTTATCGTTGAATGTAACATGCTATTACAGTACGCACCAATTTTCAACTATGTGAACTAATTCAAAACTACGCTATTTCTCTGATGCTAGTTGCACAGTCTTCAAATGCAAGATTTGCTGAAAATATTTACCATGTTTTCAGCAAATGAAACATGGTTTTCTGTGCAACTAGAAAAGAAGGAAAGTGTAGAGAGTGTGGAAATGCGGAACCTTGATACACCTATTCCATTTACTAAGAGTGTAAATGTGGTCATTTGCAAAGACGTTATATTTCATTACGATATCGCTAGATGACATGTGGTTTAACAAACTCTGCAAATATCTTAGCTTGTTAGAAACGTTAAATTCTCCTACATCCACCGTATTTCATTGATTTTTCACTTTCAAATTTCTATCCTTTCTGTTTTTTTTTTTAAAATGATAGGAATATTTTTTGGAAGAAGGTAAAATCTTGAACATACGTTTTCTGTAAACGTCTTCTTTTTTCATGCGGAAATGTACTGCATTTATGTCGGTTTCTCCAATTTTATCAGATAGTTTGTTAAAACAGAAATATTATACTACGTTTTTTTTCTTTTAGATCTACAGTTAGGAAGTCTGCTAGATCTTAAAGATCGTGAGTAATTTTTTCCTAATTAAAACAAATTGTTTATTTTTCACAACTAATTAATTTTAAACGAAATCAATTTTTTGTGCCTTAAATTGATAATTTCTAAAGTGTGTGATGAGATCAATGCTAACGTAACATGGTAGTTAAATTTTAGACTTACTAAAGTAATATATAAGTTCTTGAACGCAATAATAAGACTCTATCCAACTATCACTCAATGTATTTCTTTCCTTAATTTCTTCTTATTTAACTTGAAAAATATTTGAATAATATGTTGTATAATTTTTTGCACCAATTTATGATGGGCAAATTTAACTGATATAACGCACATTTTAGAGGTAATAGATGAAATATTTCGTTGTCAATAAAAATTTAGAAATAAGTATTTAAAAATAAATATTTAAAATTTTATATCAGAAGGATTTTTAATTTTATTCACATTTTATTATGCTACGATTTAATAAATAAAACTTTAAATTTGCTATTATTGTAACTAAAACCAAAATGTTTTAAACAATTTAAAAAAAATATTTTTACCTGCTCTTAAACTTTTACTAATACCAAATAATAATATTAGGACAAATATTAATATTATGAAACAAAAATTGTCATCATAAAAAACAGAGTTTAATTTTAACACAGAATTTTTTATTCATTTTATTAATTAATTGCACATAAAATTGTACCATGTTTTTATTTTGTATGTTATTTCATTTTAACAGTACGTAAGTAAACTTTTATAACTATAATTCATAGTTTTTGAAATAATTTTCAATCTTTAAATTATTATGTGAATTAATTCACCAAAAAAAAAAAAAAAAAAAAAAACTGAAAATTATCCTATAATTTAAAATTTTAGATTTTTTTTTAAAATTTTTGGCATCATACTCTGGGTATGGTTATAAAAGCAAATTATCACTGAAATTTGAAAATTAAAATTTTGATTTATTGTTAGTTTAAGAGTTCTCTAGCTAAAGTATCTACAGCTAGATGTCACTAAAATTACAAAAGAACTACGATTTATGACATGTCTGCAGCACCTTGCCTAAGTAGGAGAATGAAATCATTTTCTGCCTCTAAAATTGTACTATTGAGTTGTTTTATCCTGAACGCATCATTTTTAGCACGACTTTACATTCTCTTTAAATTCTCTCATGCGATATGGTTCATTCGTTACCCGCAGTTCACACCACTGCATATTAGTTCACGCCACCCCCGAAAGGGGGAGTTACTATTGTTACTATATCTCAGATGCCATCACTCTTGTTACCTTTTTAACAGAGAAACTCTCATATATCGATAAATCAATTTCAGTTAACAAATTTGCATTATTAATGTTACCCAATTTATAAATGTGGTAATCCTTGGAAAAAAACTTATTTTACTTGATGAAGAATGGATCCTGGAAATAAGTTTATTAGTCAAACTAAACAATCCTTTTTAATATTTTGAAGTTTTATTAAACTTAATTTTAAGGCTATAGCAATATCTTCATAGAACATTTTTGTGGCCAAACGAATTCCTTAACTAAATTAATTTCTAAATTTGTAGAGTTCTGTTCTATTAATAATTTAACTATTATGTTTCTCTTTTCAGTTGGTGGCTTAACTAATATTCTAGATCTATCACATCGTGAGTAATTTTAAATACATGTTGAATTTTGTAAAGTACTGCTAATGTGTTTTTTTCTTAAGTTTTATAATTTTAAGTAGGAATTACACAATGTAACACAAATATAAAGAACTCAAAAGTTACATCTTATTCAAATTATTTAGGATTAGGTTAGAGGAGGAAATATGATAAATAATATTAATAGTAAGTAGTTGGTGAATTATTCGTAACTCATTAGCATAACCAATTTAAATTTTTGAGATAAAATAGTTTAAAACTTGGCATTTTTGAAACCAATCCGTTGTCAAAAATGTCACATATGATCGACAAGCGTTTGTTTTGGCACTTTAATGAATCGTCTCACATGTTACAATCGAAAATGTAACTCTTTAATATGTTAAAAATTAAGATTATAATCGAATTTTCATCGCTGCAAGAATTCTAATTTTAGGTTTGAAGTTTCTTCTGCTAAAATCATTCAACACGTCTCTTTAAACTCCGACTTTGATTTCTGAGAATCTTTCTATGTTTTGAAAAATTTTAAGATTGTTGTTGATGAATTTTAAAGCACCCAATTTTTTTCTAATGCTTGAAAACTAATTTTCGAAAATATTAAAATCTTGCAAAATTTTTAGTTCTCACTTCACACCTTTTATTAGACAATATTTAAGTTTATTTTGTTTGTTTACCACATAGTATACCATAAATTAATTTCCCCATCGATGTATCCTGTTTTTTACTTCTTATTTATATGTGCATTTCGCTAAGGAAACACTATGTTACATTCGGCGTCAGCATGAGGAGTTTAAATTTAAAAAACGTTTTTTGATTGGAACCTTTGAGCCAACAGAGAAAAGGGCTTTTAATTCATTCAAGCACATCGTAAATGTAAAACCCACTATTAAACATATCATTAAATACACTATTGGGACCATATTTCCAAGAATGCTGCTACCCGCTTAATTTTGAGGGACAGAAATCCAAATCTTCATAAAATATATTTTGTTTATTCAAAGAAAGCACGTTTTCGTGTCTGATTCCGTAACTTTAAAAATTGCCTGCCCTTTTTAATTAGAAAATTTAAGGCCATCCCCTCGAACCATTAAGATTCAGTCCCAGAACGTGAAGATCCAATCATTAGAACAAAAGTTATTCAGGGTGGTCAGTTTTTTTTCGGCCCACTGTACATGTTTGTACTTGCACTCGTTTAAACATTACTGGAATATTTATCTCATTAGTTAGTTATTAACAACATGGATATCATTATTTGTATTGTTTGGATTGTATTGTACTGTTTTTTATTTAACCCACATTTTGTATTTGATTTCATAATGTTCGTTCCTTTTAGTTCCAGTTGTAGGACCACGTAAGTTTTTCTATACTTTTAAAATCACATCATTTCCTTTTCAGGGGGGGGGGGGTCTAAGTTGGGTTTATATGCTACCATGAATGAACGAAATCAAGAGAACGTCGACTTTCACCAGTGAATGTCAACAATCACATAGTCGTTTTGGTGAATGTCCGAAATATTTATTATATCCGTTTACTTTTTATGCACTTATTCGTATTTTTCTGTAGTTCTTAGTGCGTTTGTTATGTTAATACAATATCTGGTCAAAATATTCGTACTCCAAAGAATGTAACATTGTTTTTTATCATTTGGCCTGGGTTCATTACTTATTGTGGTAGGAACAATGTACTTTTAAATCTATGTGACCAATTTGGATAATGCTTATATCCCAACTCTATGACACTATTTCAGAGAAGGCCTAATACTTTTTTCCAGCAGGATATCTGTTCTACTCACACATAGTGTTTTCTGCAGCTGTGGTTTGACGACATGGGTGTTCAATCCCTCTCCGAATCAATAAAATACTTACAAAAATTCGTGATGCGCTTGCACTTACGATGTTTCTGGGTTTATATTACAAATACTCGGCTTATGAACCATTGGTGTTCTAGTACGCATGCAAATAATAAACCAGCTTGATAGTATGTTTCTACGAATATCCGTCCTAGCTGCAATGATTCGTTCTACAAACACTCGGTTTATGTACCATTGGTGTTCTAGTACGCATGCAAATAATAAACCAGTTTGATAGTATGTTTCTACGAATATCCGTCCTAGCTGCAATGATTCGTTCTACAATCACTCGGTTTATGTACCATTGGTGTTCCAGTACGCATGCAAATAATAAGCCAGTCTGATAGTATGTTTCTACGAATATCCGTCCTAGCTGTACTGATTCGTTCTACAAACACTCGGTTTATGTACCATTGGTGTTCTAGTACGCTTGCAAGTAATAAACCAGTTTGATAGTATGTTTCTACGAATATCCGTCCTAGCAGCAATGATTCGTTCCTGAGGTATCATAAACTATATCCGTCTCAGTTTAGGATTGCGTTTGCATAAGATATGTTCCTCTTAAATTACCTTTGACACACTGCAGGAAGGTATCAGATTTGCTGGGATGGACATTGTTAGAAACTTGCTGTTGAAAGTATGAATGGAGCTGGTTCAGCATTAAAAAGTATAATGGATGTACAGTGCGAAAATAAAATCAGCCACCCTGAATAACTTTCGATCATCACGTTCTAAACTCATTCTTAATGGTTTGAGGGTGACCTAAAATATTCTAAATAATCAGTGCATATATTCTAAGTTATGAAATCGGACACAAAAACGTGCTGTCTCTGAATAAACATACTATTTTTACGACGGATTCGGACATTTGACCCCCATAATATAGGGGGGGTAGCCGCAATTTAGAAAATATGGTCCCCATTGTTTGGTTAGGAGAGCGGTCTAAGGCTTGAACCTCAAAATGTTAATTTTATTTTTTGCGTATTTAGCCATATCTCAAGAACTATTCAAGCGAATTGAAACATTTTTGCACACAACTGTAAAATTCGTTTATGCAAAGATGAAAGATGCTATGAAAAATATTCCTGTTTTTTTAAATATTTGTTATTTTTCATTATTTTATTTACTAATGGTCGAAAAAATTTTGAATTATAAGGTATGGAATTTTTTACTTCATTTTAAAGAATGTAATTTTACATGGCAAAATGCAAAATTTGAACAAAATAGGTCAAATAGTTCCTGATAAATGGAATTTCAAAGAAACCTTATCTTAAAATTCGATTTCTCAAGAACTATTCGGCCGATTTCTTTCAAATTTTGTATTTTGTGATTTAAAATTACGTTCTTTGAATTTATGTAAAATATATTATACCTCGCGATTCAAGTTTCTTTTCCACTGTTATGAAATAAAACAATAAAAAACAATAAACGTTTATTAAAAGTTATATTTTGCAGGGATTAATCACAGGATAGATAAATTTTATAGTCGTAAGCAAAAATTTTTTCAATTTGCTTAAAAAGTTTTCGAGATATAGCGAAACACGCAAAAAATAGAAGTAACATTAAGGTGTTCAAACTTAAAACCGCGCTCCTGACCGAACTATGGGGACCATATTTTCACTACTGTAGCTACCCCCTATACTTCGGGGGTTAGAAATCCAAATCCGTCAACAACAAAAAAGATGTGTTTATTCAGAGAAAGTACGTTTTTGTGTCTGATTTCTTAACTTAAAATATCGTCTGAACTAATTAATTAGCATATTTGAGGTCAAAAGTTATTCTGGGTTGTTCTTTTTTTTATTTTGCTCACTATAGTTATTGAGCACATGTAGTGTGTACCAGACGCTTGGTGAGCTTTTGTGCCTTTTTTAGAATGTAGTATACTTGGAAATTTAAAGTGTTTTGGAACTGGAATCATTATTAAAAGCCTGTATTTTAAATAACAACCTTACCCTACTGAAAAACACGGAAAATGTTCCTAGTTTGTCACGCTAGTGAACACTCCCCACTGCGTTCTACTTAATGTTCTAACGTTTCATGTTCTAATGTTCTACTTAATGTCTACTTAATGTTCTAAGTGAACACAAAATTGGTATAGTGCATAGACGCCAGAAAGCCTGAAAATTCAGGCAAGTATCTTATAGTAGTTAAATATCTTATGTTATTCTTAAAGAAAAGGGAGTTATGTAAAAATAATTGCCTCTCAGTAAATTTATTGTAGAGTTCTTTAATATAAACGTAGTTTGAAGAATTAATTTTAATTTAGGAAACGGCAAACATTGGAGGCAGCTAACGACTGGGAATAGGCAGATTTTCCTTTTTTTAATTTTTGGGAAATGCCTTTTTTTGCACCAGATCAATTTTGAAAGATTCTAAATTCAAAGTTTGGCCATAGTGCCAATAAACTGGAAAATTGGAGATTATTTCGTCCAATCATCTTCCTAGTAACAAAATTTCTAATTAACCTCCATATTTTCCTAAACTACTGTTAAAAAAATTATTGAATTCGTGTGGCATCTAATAAATTTTAATTTTTTTTTTGTCGTAACATTGAAAATGGTGGTTGAAAGTTTTTTTTAATTTCACTTTAAAAATACTATATTTAATCAGAGTTAAGAATGTCCTAGACGCGCTATGTATCAATTATCATTCTAACCATTTATATGAAAAAAGAAATACATTTAGAAAGAGTGTGATAATTAGGAACCAGATTTCGAATCTTTAAATATCGAAACTGCGGATCAAATACAAGGGTGCAGAAATAAAGTTATTTAATTGAGTTTACATGTCTTATATAATATAGCTTGCGTATCATTGACTGTATTCATTTTGTCAATCTGAGATTTACTTATTGATTTAATTTACCTGTTAAATTTTAAACTTACAATTCAAATTGAGATGTGTGGAATTCAAAATCGAAATGCATGTCGTATCGGAGTTAAATATTACGCAGGGTATGCTTTTAGATGTATGTTTGCCTGAACTGTTCAGAAAATGTTGTTTTTGTTTGTGGGAATGTCAGCAGTTACAACGTATATTACTGTCTCGATTTTTTCTGAAATAAAATATAAAAAAACACGAAGCATTAATAAAATACTTTAAAAGAATTAATAATTTTTATTTTTATTTTTCAAAAGTAATTTCAGAAAGTTATTTAAATTATGCCGTAACCTGAACTTTAAACTATTTTGGTATTCCAAATCTGTATAACATTATGATTTAAAAATTCTGTGCATAATGATTATAATTTTTTTGTAATCTTTTTCAAGGGTCTTAAAATTGTTTATTCAGAAATATATTTTTTATTTTAATATATATATTTATTCCTTTTTCTGTAACAGTCCGTAAGTAAAAATACTTGTGTAATTAATATTTGTATAACTCTTACTACAACTTTAAGTTAAATATTTTATCGTAAATTTTTGTAATTGGAGGACATAAAATTTTTAAATAAGTTAATTTAAAATAAGTTAAGTTAAATTTTTAAATAAGTTCTTTTGCTGGAATGTTTGCTAGAAATTATGATTTTGGAAATATTTCGATTGATTAAGTATTCTAAGAAAACACATCCCGATGTAAAGAGGAAAAAATGCTTTGCAAATTAGCTGTAAGTGAACCGAGATTCAAAATTATCTATTAAAATTATCGATTCAAACTCGCAGTGTCGCCGACAGTAAAAACGATATTTAGTTTCTGTAGATTGCAAATATCTAAGAAGAGCCGTGGTGGCTAAGGGGGTGGGGCATTCCCCCTCCAATTAGATGAACCGGGTTCGAATTCCAGCGCTGGCTGGTCGATTTGAATTTCACACCCGGCTTGTACCGAACACAGTGTTGACGCAAAATATTCTTATTGGTAAACGGATTATGGGCTAGAGTTCCCTTACCCATGGGAGGTTTTCATGGTTTTTATCTCCATGTAACGCAGATGCGGGTTTGTTCACTCAAAAATTCCCCCACGAAGACAAATTTCTCCCAATACTTGATCCAAGAGTTCCCTTGTCTTCTGAGTTGGGTTCAAAATTACAAGGCTGGGGAGTTGAACATTTGTAGTCACGAACGCAAAAAATTGGGTTGGCTGTTCACCGACGGTTTTGAAAAAATATCTAAGAAACAAGTAAAGACAGTGTACAGAGCACATCTTTACATGATCGTTTGTAAGCAAACAGTGAAAAAGTAATCGTTAAGGGTAAGCGATTGAACATCAATATCAAACCTGCTAAGACCTAGAACAAGCAAATATCATGTTATCACTTGAATGCATTGCTATTCTTGATGAAATGATTAAATGTAATTAAAAAAATGCAATTATGATTACGTATATGCAATGTAGCACTTTAAACAACAAATCATCACTTTAAATTTTAAATCCTACTTCTGCACGTCATGTTTGGGACACTTTCATTTTTAATACGACTTTACATCCATTTTAAATGCACTCGTGTGAACTGAAGGAAATTGATCGCTTACATTCTATGGTTCATTTTCTTATTTTGTTTTATAACGCTAAATGGTTGCGATGATATTGCTGTTGTATTTCCGACGTCATCACATCGGTCCAAATAGTCCACCTCTAAATTGCGCAACGCATATTTGTCGATACATTTATTTTAGAAAATATTTGAAGTTCGTAAAAGAGGTAATTCCAGAATAAGGGATATTTTAGTGGACTAATTATGTCAAATTATAAATATAGAAAGAAATTTGAATAAGATTATGGCTAAAAATTTGTATTTTTATTAAAACTTGCTTTTAATGCTAAAACAATATCTTCACAAGGCATTGTTATCGTTACAAAAATTTGTAATGCAAATTGTTTTTAAAATTTGAAGACATTGGGTCTGTACTTATAATTTAACCACTATTTGTTACTTTCATTTTTAGTGGATGATCTCGATTTGTCAACACGTGAGTAATTACGATTATTTATAAATCTTGTATGTTACTGTTGTTGACATAAATTGCTGTCATACATAAACAAGAACAAAATGTTGACGAACATAATATTTTTGTAGTTTTTAATACTCAAAGTGGGGAATTTTTCATGAAGCTTAACAGAAATGTTTGAATGATATCTTATATGAATATAATAGTGAAATTAAAGAGTGTGAGACAAAAAAATTATAAAACAGGAAGTGTAAAGGAATCCAAATGAAAATTGCTTATGAATTTTAAAAAAAAAATCATGAGATCAAACAATGCCAAAGATCATCTCTCAATCAATAAGGTCTGAAAAGGACATATCTGACATTAAGAAGACGCCTTAAAACGGGAGCTATTACAAATCTTTCTTATACGATTCTCAGTTATTCAGGCACAGTAAATTCCACCTTTTTCATTGCTAAATATTGCCATCTCAATCCATTTGAAGTACGGTTTCGAGCCTACATCATTCCTAGTATCACCTATTACTATCCTAATGCATTTGAAGTGTGGTTTCAAGTCTACAACATTCCTAGTATCACTTATTACCATCTCAATCCATTTGAAGTATGATTTCGAGTCTACAACATTCCTAGTATCCCCTATTACCATCTCAATCCATTTGAATTATGGTTTCAAGCCTACAACATTCCTTGTATCACTGATTGCCATCTCAATCCTTTTGAAGTATGGTTTCCAGCCTACAACGTTTCTAGTATCACCTATTGCCATCTCAATCCATTTGATGTATGGTTTCCAGCCTACAGCATTCCTAGTATCACCTATTCCCATCTCAATCCATTTGAAGTATGGTTTCCAGCCTACAGCATTCCTAGTATCACCTATTACTATCCTAATGCATTTGAAGTATGGTTTCAAGCCTACAGCATTCCTAGTATCACCTATTGCCATCTCAATCCATTTGAAGTATGGTTTCCAGCCTACAACATTCCTAGTATCACCTATTGCCATCTCAATCCATTTGAAGTATGGTTTCAAGCCTACAACATTCCTAGTATCACCTATTGCCATCTCAATACATTTGAAGCATGGTTTCGAGTCTACAACATTCCTAGTATCACATATTACCATCTCAATCCATTTGAAGTGTGGTTTCGAGTCTACAACATTCCTAGTATCACTAATTGCCATCTCAGTCCATTTGAAGTATGGTTTCGAGTCTACAACATTTCTAATATCACTAATTGCCATCTCAATCCATTTGAAGTATGGTTTCGAGCCCACATCATTCGTAGTGATTTGTGATGTATCTTCAATGCTAAATTTTTTGTTATCTGGCTTAGATATGATTCAACACTAAATGTTTCTTTGAACTGTTTATAATATTTGTCCACAAACTACGTTTTTAGACATCGAGAGAACCGAGGACGAACAACTGTTGTTAAGCGGACGCTATACCACGGGAGATACTTTTCATCGCTAATTCTGTTGCACTGCCAAAAATACTTTAAAGTTTACCGTATGAAAGAAATGAGTTTGTCCAATCTTAGAATAAGCCACGAGGCCTCAAACATTGAAAAAGAATTTTCAAATTGCCAAAATGAAAGAAATTACGAGAATATTACTCAGAGTTATGATGCACCGGGGAAGATCACTTCCATTAATTTGTTTGCATTTTGATATTTTGAGTTTTTTTAGCAAATGAAAGTTTATGGCCTGCTCTAGGTTTGCCTGAATGCACTTTTTTATATATTTATTAAATTAAATTAGTTATGAAGGTGAACCAGAATTTGCGATAAAAAGGTTTCTTCCACGGTATGGTGTCCTCTTTACTTAAAGCATAATGATCATTACTTAATAAATCTTCAATAGATGTCAGAAAAACTCTTCGTATTTTAAAATGAGCTTTACAGAAAGGAAAAGGAACTGTTGAAAGTTACAAAAATTTTTATAAATTTTCAAACAATGTTGAATTTTTAATTTTGCTAATCAATCAAATATGCTGATACCTTTCTTAACCATTAAGTTATCATACTTTCAAAAACTCTTCTGCAAATTAAAAAATATAGCTCACATTTAATTAAATTGCAAATGTAGAGAGATTTAGTAAAAATGAAAACTAAATGTAGCAGTCAATTTAGCTTTTAGCGTATTGTAAAATTAAAACCCCTAAGTGTATACAATCTAGCTTATAAAATCCTATGCCTTAAAAAGCCAATTTCTCTTAAGTGGACGGATTTTAATAGACAGTGGGTAATTGTGTGAGGAATAGTATTAATAATAAGCAATTGGTAAACAATTTGTAACTAATTAGCATAACCATTTAAAACTTATAAAAATGTACAAAATTGGGCATTTTTAAAAGATTAGATTTCAAACAAATGAAAATAAAGATCTTGCTTCAAACTGTGAAATAAACTTAAAAAACCGTTGACAAAGCTTATCTAATGTCTCATAAAAATCTTACATTCTTTTCAGCACTTTAATAAAACATCTTATACATTACAGTCGAAACATGTAACATGCATTGATGCAAAATTAAAGAAGTGTTCATGCATCATGTTTTTAAGTAACATGCTCAAAATAAGGGTAATAAATGATCTGTCATCACCTAGGTTTTGAGTTTTATGTCTGCTAAAGCCACTGATCTTGATTTCAGAGAATCAATTCATATTTTGAAAAATTCTCATAGTTCTGTTGATTATTTAACGAGCGTATCATTAATTTCTAATATTGGTAAATTCCTTTTAAATAATGGATAATAACGGCCTACCATCGTCCTACACTGTTGTAATTTAAATCTTTGGTTTAAGTTTTTTATCTGCTAGATCCACTGATCCTAATTTCAGAAAATCATTCCATATTGTGAAAAAAAAGGATCTATAAGAAAGGTTTCCAACTGGCGCCCCGCGAAGCTTTTTTTTTTGTGGACCGCGAACTGAAATATATTAGTTGTCATTTTTTGCGAACAATTTTCGTAAAAAATCTATATGGGTCTATACTTTATAATCTTTTAAATCTATATACTTTTCTCGTTAATAGAAACCTAATTTCTTCGTTTCTGTGAAATTTAACATACCAACGGTGCAAAAAATTTATTTCTCTGGTTTTGCATCCGCGAAAATATTTATTCAAATTCAAAATAATCGTGCATGTTGCTCTTTTTTATTTCATTTTTTTTTTGGATTTTGTGAATATAATTCAGCGTGTGTGTATCATAAATTCTCTCGAAGAAATTCTCCGATTTAACTTTTTGAAACCATTCATTTTGGACGAAAATATTTGCACACACATTTGTAAATTTTAAATGTAAATATCTATTTTCTGGTGGTTGCAGCAGACAAACCTTAATTTTCTCATTGAACATTTTGTGTGGTACTATGTAAGTTTCAATACCAACCTTTTTAAAGTTTTGTATCTTAGCAATTGGATATCTGTTGCACAGTAATTGTTTAATACATAGGTGCACATTAAAGTTATTGTTGCCCAAATTTTTATTTGTTTAATATTTTTGAAAATATTATTATTAACAATTAAGTATTTTTAAAAATCTACTTCTTATTTTAATTCGTAAATCAATACTTTTGATTTGTACAACTTGGTAAAAATCTGACAGTAATATTTAATGTTCCTTCAAACATAAAAGAGTCCTACATAAAATTTTGATAAAGTTGCGGCCCGCCATTTGATTTGTGTTTTTAACTGTGGACCCCGGCCTCATGTAAGTTGGAAACCCCTGATCTATAACATACATGTCTATGAAATAAAAAAAAAACAACTATCCCCAATCATCCAATAACATCAATTAGTTATTAAAGTTGACTCTATCTAATTTACTTAAAATACTAGTTATCTAAAATAATTTTGTAAAATAAATACTTTGTATTATAATTTATTTGTTATAATTTATTCATATAAGTATTCACATGGTTGTTGATCCAACTACCAATGTATATAATTGTTGTGACCATTGTGGTTTGTACAGAAAAAAACTACCTCTACTTCACTTGGCTCTGCTGGCTTTACTCCTACCAATTCTAAGATTTATTTATTTACTTGTTTACGAAATGGAGACGATCATTTATAGTATTGCTTATTTACTTTGAATAAAATTTATAGAATTTGGTACACTTATATTTATATTGATTGTATAATATTCTTTCCTTTTAGTTCCGGTTGTAGGACCACGTGAGTTTTCTTTTTATGCTCTTAATAGTGTATTCACTTCTCAGTGTCATGTTATGTTGATACCCTATCTGATCATAAGTATTCGTACACTTACCAAAGCAGCATAGTGCTGGGTTGTTTGTCATCGGTAGACCTGGTTTCATTGGCTCTTGAAGTTGGAAACATGGAATCCTAGATGTATGAAGACATGCTAAATAATGCTGCTCCTCTTTTTCGAAGACAAGAATTTAGGGAGAGGGAGTTTTTCTTCAAGAAAGATAATTGCTCCTTTTCCAAATCGAAATTTGTTTCGAAGTCATCGACTGACTAAATGGATGTTCAAGAACTGGACTTCGGACATCCGATCTAAGTCCCATGAAACGGATTTCTTTTTAGGATCATTTGTGATGGATGTCTGTAAGCCAATGAGTATGACCACATATTGAAAACAGAGAAAAAGTCTCCCTAGGCGCGTGAAGCCTGTAATCGCTGCAAATAGGAATATTATCCTATATTCATATTAACATGTGCCTCAATTCTTCGATTTCTTATTAATGTGTGCCCGGATACTTTTGGATAGATACTGTCCACACTGAACAGGGTTTTCCAAAGGGGTTAATTCAGTTTGTAATCAATGTTAATTTACAAGTATATGATGGGTAATTAAAAGATAAATATGACCACCAAATTTGTGTGTGTGGTTTCCTCTACAAATGTTCAGTCTGTGTACCTTTAAACTGTTAATATCCTTCCTACTGATAAACTAGTTCTGCAGTGTGTTTCCATAAATTTTCGTTCAATCTACTGGGGCAAATAGATAGTGTCCTTAAAAATGCATAAATCGAGGAGCATACGTTTTGTTCTTGTTTGAATATTTCAGATGGCAGCAATATTGAGAGGAAGTATCGTTGGTGCTGTAATGGACATGGATTTAGGCATGCTATTGAACACTTGAACACAATGATTATTAACCATTATTATGAAAGCTGGACCTCTCCTGCGTCAGTATTCTTAGTACGTCGTACATCTGTAAATAAACAGTCCTTTGAAACTGGATAAATTTTTCGGGTTAAACAAATATTTTGAATTACGATTCTTCCTTAGAGAGGAACACGAGGAATATTCATAGCCAGTAACGGTAATGGTCGCAAGGGAGGTAGAATCAAGTTACAAACATGGTAAAAGTAGACATGGTGCCATAAAGTTAGCCAAGATTGGCTCAGTAGATACTTACAGTCATTTATGAATGAAAATAATTATAACACTTTTTATTATCATCATTCAATATTGTTATTCCATATAATTTATTCAATAAAAATCAATTTTAAAATAATAAGTTAGGTTAAAATATTTACCCACTTCCATCAAATTGTAGCTCCTTCATCTGAACGTAGCTAAGAGAGTTGCGACGTATAAGTAACAATAGAGATTATTTAAATATTTTGCGGATATATGTATTGGGAAAGTAGCAGGACATATCGGGAATGGATTATGTATTCCTTAAGCTGACAACGATTTAAAAATTTTTTAAACCCAATCCTTGGTTACATTGACTATTATCAGAAACAGAAAATTTAGGGATTGTTTTATTAAATAATCAAATAGTTTAATTCACGGGAATTTTATCGAAAAATTCACGATTTCGGAACATTTCTATTTAATTATCTCTGTTCAAACGTTGTCTGATTTTTCCCGTCAATACTGATTTTTCACCATCGAAATTCTTCTCAGTGCATTGTAACAAATAGTTACATTAGCATCAAATATATAATTCATAAACTTTTCCTTTACTTTAAAAATGGCGACTGTTCTGCAGTTATTATTTTTAAAAATGGAAGCCAATAATAAAAATATAATTAACTTTAAATAAAGAAAAAGAATCAAGATACTAGATGTATAATAAATTATTATACTAACTGCTCAATTTAAGAAAGAAATAAGTTTAGCATTAGTTTTGGAATTTTATAATCTGTAAACAGATTTCGGATTTTCGAAACGGCGGATCACATACAACGTAAACAAAGACAACAAAGATAAGAAAAATAATTATTAATGGAGCTTGTTGTTCTTATTGATATGATTTGGATCTTATTGATGGATTTTATTCTGCTGATTTCAGAAACATTTTTTTTTAGTTAGTTTTAAAGCAAAATTCAAAATTTAAAATCTAATTGAGACATGTGAAAAGTCAAATTTAAAACGCGTGTTTGATCGCATTTAAATATTATGCTGGCGTATAATTAAACATATGTTTTCTCCTGAAATGTGCAGGGAACATTGTTTATAATTTTAAGTATTCCAGGAACATATTTTTATTACTTTTTTTAATGAGGTAAGAAGACAAGAAACTTTCATGTTATTTTTCAAAAGTAATATGTGATAAAAGTACTTTTCTTAGATTTTCAATCTCTATAGCTTATGATAAATTGATTTTTTGTAACCTTACTTCAGGTAATTAATAATTAATTGAATACATAGTAATTTCAGGTAATTAATAAATAATTTAAGATAATTAATTGAAAACAAATGAATGCAAGCAATTTTTTTCAATATTAATTTGTTTCATGTGTTTTATTCCAATTTTTAAACAGTTGGTAAGTAAAAATCCTTTCGTTTTTACTGCAATTTAACGTTTGATATTTAATTGAACATTTTTAAAATCGGAGTACGCAAAATGTTGTGAGCCTTAGGGTAAAGACCTTTTTTCTGAACTGTTTATGAGAAATTATAATTTTAGAAATAAATTTATTCTTGAAATATAGTTATCGTAGGACGTTTTAAACAAACGCTATAATGATAGAAAAATATAAACTCAGCATTGCAAAGGCGAGAAATTTTAAGATATTTACAGAAGAAAAATTAAATTTAACTTGAAGAAACGGGAAAAAAAAGAAAAAAAAGAAAAGGAACACTCTAAATAACTTTTGATCTACATTCGTATATTTAAAATTCGATTTTTCAGGAGCTATTCCACCTATTATGTTTAAAATTTGTATTTTACTTTTAAGATTACATAACTTATAATAATGTAAAAATTTGTACGCCTTACAATTTAAAATTTGTTCAATTACTATTGAAAAAATAACAAAGAAATATTAAATTATTAAATTTATTATTACTTTATTTTATAAATTATTTATTTTTGCGTTAAATTATTTTTGAATAAACGACTTTATAATTCTACTAAAAAAATATTTGAGTCGCTTAAGGAGTTCTCGTCCATGTGACGAAATGCCCAAACAGTAAACAGTGAAATTTACATTAAAGGGTCCAAACTTTTGATCATTCTAATGAACAAACCATATTGGTATCATGTTTTCCAGATTGCGGCTATTCTCTATATTTTGGGGGTTAGAAACCCGAATTCATCAGAAAAAAGGTATATTTATTCAGAGGATGCACGTTTTAGTGTCCGATTTCGAAATTTAATATGTTGTCTGCACTAATTAACATATTTGATGCAGCCTCTTTAAAAAAATTGATTCATAGGACATGAAGATCCAGTCACTAGATCAAAAGTGTTTCTAACAGTTCCTTTTTTTTGCTCAAGTTCATTTGCCGAATTTGTCAAAATTCTAGCTTTAAATACGTAGTTTTATGCTATAAATATTTACCGTTTATCAAGTTTTAAATATTCTAGTGAAATTATAATTTAGTTAATATTTATATGTTTTTTTATTGAATCCGAATATTGTATCATTCATAATGGCATTGTGAATTCACTATGATTTATTATGAATTAAAAACTCTCTTAAAAGATTGTGTTCTTTTAATTATTTACTGTTTTTTTTCATAATATTTAGTTGGACAAGTGGAAAATCTATTGTAGATTAAGATGTAGGTGAGTAATTTCTTTTACTTGTTGAAATAATTAATCTCCATGATATTGTTTCCGAAAACAACGAAAGAATCTCATAGCGTATACTTTCAAACTAAACTCAATTTATAAACTTAATAAGCTATTTCACGCAATACGAATTCGCAAATTAAAAAAAAATCAATGAATAAAATGTTGATGATTCTAATTATTTATTAATATATTTGACCTACTCTTTTTCCATTTTTTTTTTCTGTTTTTTTATTGATCGTGGCTTCTTTTGTTTGGGTCACATTTTAAAGTTTTCTGTATATACTGTATTGTAATCTGTTATGAATAGAATTCGAAATGAAGAAATGTTTACTTTAATACGCAGAGATACTCTTTCAGTTGAATTCCCCTCTAGTATTTAGAGAAATACAAAAAATATCATTAAATTGAAAGTTTTTTTTTGTTGAAGTCAACATACACAGCTTGATATTTGAAAGAAATAACTGATTAATGCAAAGTCGATTTCTAGACAGCTCAGCTGACTCATAACGGCGAAATTAAGTGTAGAGGGCGTGGTAGAGCCGTTACCTGTATATAAAAGGCAGTGTACACTAGATCTTCATTCATTCGGAAATTCATATAATGTTAGGTATTTAACCAAAATATCACCATAAGTTGTTGAAGTTATTTCTGTGGAATTCAGTGTGGTGTTGCAATAATTAAGTGCAGAATGCTAGAGAGATATCATTTGAGTTTTTACAATCGTGGACAAGCATTTAGACGGCTGGAAGCAGGTCTAAATGTCACCACTGAGGCCTTAGTATCGGAAATGTAAAAAAAAAGTATCATCTTTTGATTAGAAAAGACCACTGAAGGTGCTCTGCGATAGCATGCTGGTGGTAGTTGCAGGAACTTTACACTTCAGAGTAACTGTATGCATCCCTAGTAGCGAAAAGGAACCGAAATGTAACGCCTAGGCAGATAGCTGCTGACCTTCCGACCCCTACCGGTACCACAGTAGTAGATGAAAATACGCCATCGTCGAGAGAAGATTATGTTATTGCAAGAAACGTATTGGTTGATAACCTGTGAAGATCCAGAATGATGTTCTCCGACGAATCCCGATTTACTATGACAAGTGATTTCGGCTACCAGTTCGTGTGGAGAAATAGGAGAACACGTTGTGCCCAACAATTGGTTCACGAACGTGAATGGTAGGACTCACACGTGCCAGTATGCGTAGGGGCATCATACTTAATGTTTAAACACAGCTTCATATCTTAAAGCGAGGTATCATGTTTGTCTCTTTTGGGGTGTGACAGGTTCAGACTTTTTGTTGATGGACGACAATGCACGGCCAAATGGTATCGGACACACTAGAAAGTAAAAATATTGACCGTATGCTATAGCCTGCATACTCCTCGGGCGTACATTCGATAGAGTATGCTTAGGTTTAACTTGGCAGACGTGTTCATGCAGAATACACCTTTTCCAAACCATGGAAGAACTAAATACCGCCTTGATAGAGGATTGAGACAATATTTCCCAAGGACTCTTCGAAAGGTTAGAGACAACATAAATAACAGGTGTAACATGTGCATAAATGTCCGAAGTAATCACGCATTTTACGAAAGTGCTCATTTCTGTTTCCTTTTGGCAAAAAAATTTTCATAGCTGCTTGGAAATCATCCAGTGAACATCTTGTTTATTTTTAATTTTATTATTTTTCGATTTGTCGATATCTAAACTGTTTTGCATAATAATAAATGCAATATTGCCTGTACTAAATATGTAGTCAGTTTATTTCATCAATCAGCGTCTGTTATTAATTTTTCAGAAAAATGCAACTGTTTCTTAGCAATTGTCAAGCAGTGTACTTTACATTGAGTAAACGAGACAGTAATATAGTCTTTCCAATTTATTATAAATGTTTGTCTAGAGCGAAAGTTTGTTTTAAGAAATTGTAAATGCTCAGAAACCCAAAAATAACTGTTTGCGAAAAAAATACTTCCTTAAAAAAAAAAAATTCAGATCGTCGATCACTTCATAGGTTTGTAAATTTATAGATAATTATTTACAAACATTATTGTTAATCCCCCTTTTCGTAGAATCAGTGAGATATTAAGTAGCCCAGCGAACTTATTTCTTCCGCATAAATAGAGAGCAATCTCCAAACGGTCACTAATTATTTATCGCAAGCCCAGTAGTGATATGATTTTCTTAAAAAAACATTTTTATATTATATTTTCTGCACTTAATTTACCATTTATTGATAATAATGTGTCTTAATGAATGTTATTTTTAAGTTTACTCATTAAAAATATATTTTCCAGCTTTTCCGAGTCTTTTGTCTAGCGGAAATCGCAAAACTAGAAGATACTGTATTTTTCCATCTGTCAATCTGTCACAATGCATGCTTGATACTAATAAAGATTCACGATAAAAAAAGTGTATTTTATTTTTTTAACCAGCTTAACAAGTGCAAATAAACAAAAGCAGAAAGATCATTTTAATAGAAGAGGACTGAGTCTCGTGTGACAAAAAGGTTTTGAATAAATTTGAAAGATTTAATATCTTAATACAGTGCCGAGCAATTGAAAAAGAAAACAGCAACATCAATGCTTCGAAATTTGCGGCTGGAAAACAATATACTTCCCCATGTTAATGCTATCAACGCTAAAATTCTTTTTTTATGAAAACTGATAGAAAGGATTGATTATTATAAAATATTTTTTTTTGCAATGTGCAGGTTATTATAAAAAAAAACCAATGGAGAAACTTGACTGTTACGTTGATTTTTCGATTACAAGGCAGTACAGGTAATATTTAAATGCTACTGAAAACTTAAAAAGTAAAAACGAGGGGTCGAAAGTAATATTTTAATGAGAAAGAACAAATAAAACATTGTCCCTGCATTAGTTTTTTGGAATCAATTTAAACACTACCAATTACGACAATAGCAGTAGTGCCGATTGCCAAAGTTAATCAAGCATCATTTTCGTGAATAATGCTATGGCGATTTTTACTCTTCTCCTAAATGAATTAATGGCATTTCTCCATTAATTTGGCTTATCGGACTTATTCTTTTTTTAGTTCAATTCACTTGTTTATAATTTTGCAGACCGGGATAGCCTGGTTAGTAGGGCAATGGGCCCATGCCCAAGAGGTCGTGGGTTCGATCCTCGCAAGCCCGAAGACTCCCCATGTAGTAAATGGTAACTGCTGCACTTTAAATTTTACGAGTCTCAAAGTCCTCCATGTTCCCATAACAAATCATATCTCTGGGTGTACTGATCCAGGAGCTTCCTTGTCTTCTTGATTGGTTCAAATTTACAAGGCTACGGAGTTGAACATTAGTAGTCGCAAACCCGAAATTGGGTCGGCTGTTCAACGATTTAATATAAAAATAAAATTCACTCGTTTTGAACCGGGGTAACTCCGGGGAAAGGGCGTTCGCCTTCCAATGAGGTGAAACAGGGTTCGATCCCGGTGATGGCTGGTAGATACGAATTCCGNTTACGTTTGCCGTGAGGTGTGTGCTTACTGGGGGGTTCATGTCCGAGCGATGGCTGGTTGATTTGAATTCCTCACCCGGCACGCACCGACGACAATGCTGACATAAAATATCCTCAGTGAAAGGCAGATTGTGGATTAGAGGTTCTTTGCCTCCAGGCTAACAGATTGAGGATTTCGAGGTTTTTCTCTTCATGTAACGCAAATGCGAGTTAGTTCCATCAAAAAGCCCTTCACGAAGGCAAATTTTTCCCTATACTTGATCCATAATTTCCTTTGTCTAGATTGGGTTCAAAAATTCAAGGATATGAAGTTGAACATTAGTAGTCGTAAACTTTAGAATATCACGATTCTTAAACTCATCTACAAACAAGCTATCGAGAAAAAGTTTATATACGGTGCCTCAGTCTGGTATGCAAATAAAGTTAAGCTTAATCAGAAACTTATTTCCATCCAAAGAATTCTCCTGCTAAACATCACTAAATGTTACTCCACCACTAGTACGGAGGCACTGCAGATCCTCGCAGGTATTACACCAATTGACCTAACAATTAGACTAGCCATCGCAATTAAGCAACAATTTTGGAATAACAATAATCAGGATACCTTCGATAACGATTACCAGATTAAATACCTGAACGAATATTCCCCGCCCCCAAATTGTACTTACGATCCCACTCAATTAAGGATTATTAATACGGGATACAGCGGGCCAAGCGGAACAGGGTACGAAATATACACGGACGGAAGCAGAAGGCAGGTAATTAACAACGAAACCAACGAATATGAATACAAAGTTGGTAGTGGCTTCTTGGTCAAACTCAACGGCGAAACTATACACCGACAGTCTGTCAGAATAAATGACGAATCAAGTCTATACCCGGCTGAGCTGACCGCCATCTACCTGGCTGTTTCTTGGGCAATTGAGGCAGATATAGAAGAGTTAGTACCTTTTTCGGACTCCAAATCCTCATTACAGGCCCTAGAGAATCCCACACCAAGGGACATTATAGTCGAAAACATTAAGAGTATTATTCAACACAGGAATTACCGGTTCAACTGGATCAAGGCTCACTCGGGGGAAGCTGGAAATGAGGAAGCGGATGCTCTAGCAAAAGCGGGCACTCTGCTCAGTGGAGTAGATTTTTACTACTCTATTACAAGACCACAGCTTAATTATAAACTACGGCAGGTCAGCAGAGATTTATGGCAAGAAAGGTGGGACCGTTCATCAAACGGGAGACATACCAACAAGTTTTTTCCAAAAGTCAGCGATAAACTTTTAAATTGTGACTTTTACATAAACCAATTCTATACCGCCCACGGAGTGTTCGGAGAACACCAATCGAGATTTTTTCAGAAATCATCTAGCTGCAAATACTGCGGCAAAAGCCAAACGGTTCAACATCTAATTGCAGAATGTCCTAAATTCTCGACACTCCGGGGGAATCATATTAACATCAGGGAACCAATCGAAAAGTGGTGCAGAACAAAACAACAGCAACAAATCATTAGAGAAATTATTAAAAGCACACTAGAAGATACCATTACAATAGACGATCCGATGGACCCTATACAGTTAGGTTGACTTGATGTCTCCCCTCAATACCTGAACTGCCAATCCACTTCTATTTTAACGCGTCATTCCCTTTTTATATTTTTCAAACTTGAGCATCCTGGGGGACTCCGTTGGTCTTCTGTTCTATCTCCTCAACACTAGTTTTAAGTTCGCTTTTAGCGTTTTTATCAACAAAAATAGACGGAAAAGGAAAAGAGAAGAAAGTTTTTTTCTTCTTTTTTTTATTGTATTCATATTTTTAATTGTCTTGTTTTATTTTGATGTTTATATCTTGTAACTACTGATTATGTATTGTAACACATACTGTATTCTCTGTAACTTTGTTGGGGTCTTCCATACTATTGTAATTTGGCTCAGTATAAGGGTGGGCCTTCGGCTTTAAGCACTATATGGCGGACCTCCCAGCTGTTGGCATATGACTCTTGTATTTTATGCACTTTTTATGTTCTTTTCTGTTTTTACTTGGTTTTAATAAACATTTACCCGTATGCCCTGAATTAGGACAGGTCGAGGTAAATAAATATTTTCATTAGTAGTCGTAAACCCAAAAAATTAGATCGGCTGTTCAACGAAGGTTTTAAAATAAAATTAAATTCAATTGGATGTAAATGACTTATTTTTATAAAGGCGTCTTTTAAAATCATAGACCAAATGAAGATATGGTTTCAGATATTTTTAGAAACACTAAGTTAGTGATGTAATCTGCCTGTTCTGCAAAGCTCACTTGGATCATTGGCCTTCTTTCTCTATGTAAAAGCGAAAGTTTGTCTGGATATATGTTCTCTAAAAACTTGAGAACAGAAGAACAGATTAGGATCGTATTTCTCGCCCTTAGTAGTTTGCGAATTTTACGGGGGAGGCCTGTAAACAATCACTCTTTTCTAACGTTATGCGGTTCGGGCTTTATATTGCAACCATGAAATTTCATTAAACTGTTGTTATAAAAACGTGCGCTGTCATGTAAAATATTACAAAATATTAAAAAATAGGAGCAAATGTAACAACTAGAATGAATTATATATTCTTAAGGCTCTCTGCACTCATGGCTTTAATGCAAAAGTAATGCGTGCGAAAAAACAAATGAGCAGGCTAGCATGGGTAATCTAAAATTCAAGAGGCAATATATTTAGAGATCAGGGTTAAAGTTAGACATAAATAGGCCTATTCTTATTCGTCTAAACAGCATTTCCATTTCAAGGCGATTGAATTTATTAAATTCTAGTCATAAATCATTTTAATACCAACAATTAATAATACTAATTAATAGTTAACTTCTATTTTGATTCCGAATTTAAAATTTTTAAACTGTATGATGCCAACTCTGTATTATAAACTTTATCCCATAAATGAAAATGTCAGAAACATTATAAAAAACTAGTACCCTTTTGCCATTAATCCAAATTCACTAACAAGTTGAATAAAGTCACTAACAAGTTGAATAAGTAAGAATTGGGACACCAAAATACTGACACTAACGTAAAAATAGTATAAATTAGCTGGATTTGAAATATATCACAATACATTTTTAATAATGCACCATGATGTTAAAATTTGACACATTAGTAATGGGTATTAATGTAGTGTCGGTGACAACTGGGAAAAAGCAGCCGCCAAAATCCTTATAGCCAAAGATGAGCAGGGCCAGCTCAAAGCCAGGGCTAAAGAGAATAGAAGGGCTAGTTCACTCCGTTCTTAGAGCTGAAACTACTATTTCCCTCTTTATGACGTCACTGTGTCCACAGATCTTGGAAGATCGCACGCAAAGATATTATGATAACTTTGCATCTTTCTCTTTGTAAAAATAAGTTAGACTTTTTCTGGTTATTAGCTTTCAAACTTTACGTAATTAACACATTATTTCCATTCATAAACATAGTTCAAAAAAACTTTCTTGGCC